GTGATTATAATGTGATGTGATTGTGCGCATCTTGAGCGCCGAACTCGCTTTTTTATCATCATCAGATCTCTTTATATATAAAACATTGTACCAGCACTTATCTATTCTTCTCGCATGGAAGTAGGTGTCCCTGTATCAGTATTAAAATTAAACGAAGAGGCGTATAGTAGGTCTACAGTTTATAGGCCTGTAATAAGTAGGCAATACTATTCGTTGTGCACAAATTTGTTCTTGGCGCCACCTTCTCTGGAAGTGACGCCACGCCCCTGGTGGCATGGTATGGTATATGGTATGTGGTATGGTATATGGTATGTGGTATGGTATATGGTATGTGGTATGGTATATGGTATGTGGTATGGTATATGGTATGTGGTACGGTATGGTATGGTATGGTATGGTATGGTATGGTATGGTATGGTATGGTATGGTATGGTATGGTATGGTATGGTATGGTATGGTATCGTACGGTTAGTCATTTTACGACAAAGGCCAAATTTCGGGTAAACAACCACCCCCAACCTCCTCGACACATTCAATTTAGACATTTTGATGTGCGCTACTTCGACTCAGCCTTCCAGTGCCAGCCTGGGCTGAATATAGGTCCAGGTCAGGACTAAAGTGACACTTTTGAGAAGTAAATATAGAGCAGCCAACACTAAAACACTCATCAACACACGACTCCAGGGAAAGACGGGGGCGCACAGTCACTTTGAGAGGGTTTTTTTTTATGGCATTAATTTTCGACCTGTAACAAATTTAGAAATTTGGGAAATATCGAGAAGATCCAGCATAAACAAGACAAGATCCAAACAAATCGGACATAGACCTATCCACTAAAATGTCGCATATGAGATGTTGGCACAAGAGCAGCATGCAACTGCTTAAGTTTTAGTTAGAGTTTTACAGCACTTGCAACAAGTCATTTCAGTGCCGAAGATTAAAGGTGTTATAAAAGAGTTACAAACCCAAAAAGGGCGCTAGATGTTTGACAGGAAAGAAGGAGCAAACCACACCAGAGCACCCACCAACCGCCCACAAAGCAGCACCAACATGACATATTGCACGGTTTGGTATGGTTAGAGACAACACCCCTCCCAATAGCACAAGGTTATTTAAAAGCCAAGAACTCCGTATCTAGAACATCCACCTCCAATAAAACCAAACACAAGAAGGCACAGGGCCTTGAAAAGTACTCGACCCAAAATTCAAGACCATCACATCCGCAATTAGAACCCGGGTCATCTGTACTATATCCCAGCATGGTGTCGACAGAACTATCGGCGTGCCCAAGACCACATTCTACTTATAGAAACAATGAAAGAAAAGAAGAGGAAGCAGACCACCCTTTCAAAAGCAGGCCTACATGCATATGCACTCTTCTCACGTATATTATACGTTATATTCGTGTGCGCCTCAGTGTACAACTGGTCGAGTTACCGAAGCAAAACTAAACACGAGGCGAAAGGACCAACCCGACAGGTACTCAATGTGATTAACATGCATGAATTGGAAGCAATGGTGTCATTATGGACCCTTTCGTTACGGCCCCCCAAAAAGTTTGCTTTCATAAGCAGGGCTCGTGTGCGCCAAAGAATGTAGGGCAGTCTGGGTGTTATTCCCTAGCGGAGCATTCATATCTCCATTGAATAACCCATAACGCAATGGATTTCTTGTATTTCTACATCAAGACAGAATGAAAGCAACAGGGCAATGCACATGTATTACGAGACAGAAGAACTGAACTTCAAATGATTTCGATGACACTTCCAGAAAACCTACACCAGCTATAACATTTTCACAAAAAGGCATGCACATGTTTCTTTTTTTACAGCAAGCAAATATATTTTAAAACCTCGCTCTCTTCTTCCAAACTATTTTCTTTCACCAGATTCTCATCTCTCTCTCTCTCTCTTTCTCTCTCTCCCTCTCCCTCTCCCTCTCCCTCTCCCTC